AGGGCAGATATGAATTACAAGGAAGGTCAGGCATTTACTCATATCACATTCGGTTTTATGGCTATGTGGCGTTGTAGTTAACGTTTCAAGATCATACTGTCATGTTTTGAGTCATGCTGGGGGTGCTGATGAGACCTAGGCGAGGTCGTCACTGCTGTTCACACTGGATGAAAATATTTTTTTGTAAAGCAGGGCCATATAAAATTAACTGGAAACGTAGGGTTTACTCATATCATTGTTGGAAAATTCAACTACCCGTTCCCTTATCACCGTAAACGAAAAATAGTGAATATATCTCAAAGATAAAATAAGAGCTAGCTAGAATGATTGACAGATATACTAATAGATTATAGGTAAAAAGTAGGTAAATGATAGGTAGTAGTAGTCAAGAAGTTAGGCTGATTAATGAATAAAGATAAAGGATTTATCAGATAAGAAGTACATAAATATTTTACGAATAGAAGATGATTAGTTAACTGAATTGATTCTAATAAAATTAGCTTTAATTCTCTGTCTCTCTCTCTAAATATATATATGTAGTATAATTAAGATAAATAAATAGATATATATTTAATTTACTTTAATAAAATTAATATGACTTAGCCATCGACTAGCATTGAAATTTATATATTTTAGGCAACTATTAACGATTTCTTACCGTTCTCGAGCCTCTTTTGAGCCATATCTAAGGAATGTAGTTACGTAAATCCTGTAAACGTGGTCCCTTATCTCGTCATCGCAGCCCAAGTTGATCTGAGAAACAAATTCGATTGGCGGGTTCACATTCTCGGGAATCTCGAAAGCAATCTGCATACTGGCGCCGCCCATGTCAAGTACGCCCACAGTTGGCTTTCGACCATAATCTAGGGAATAGGTTTGAAGATAAAATCTCAGGGCTCTGAAACAGCAGACAAAGCGGAGTAGAGGCTTAGGTCTAGGCAAGCTAATCAAGTCATATTCTTAAGTTATTTTCATCAAGACGAAAAACATATTAACTTATTTGATGCAACTCAGCTAACTGGGCATCGGGATGATTTATTAAAGGCGTATATTTTCTATAGAAGTTGTTTGAACCTGTTCTTACAACTTGGTCATATTGGTAGAAAGACCTAGAGGATCGCATCTTTCCCGGAGTCGATAGTATGCATGATAATTTCCAGTCGGACCATAGACTTGGTGCATTCCCAGACGTTTCGCCGACATCGTCAGAAAGCCTTGCCATTCTCAGCACCACACTACAACTCGTCAGAGACGAATTAAATCAACCCTTTGATAAATTGTTTGCAAAACAATTGTGGTATCTCTCCTTCTGTCCTGGGGTATTCAACTATCATATATCTTTGTATCATCCCTTCAATATCACAATTTCTTACTTGTTTATCTAAACTAATTTGAAACTTACTCATCTTCTCCCCATTGTGCCGGGAGTGTTGATCTAAGACTGCAACTTTATATTTTCTCTTTATTGCATAATAATACGAGTGAAATGTGGACGGGCTAAAATATTCTACTGGCATGTATCAAATTAAAAGATGGCGAAGACATTATTTTTGTGATATCATTAAAATGTAAAACAACCTCCTTTCGGAAGTTATAGTCTATGCTATGCCCTCATGACAAATTGAGGTATGCAACATAAAAAAAGGATAGGTCACCAGTATTTTCGGAAGCGAATAAAACTGTGACAAGAGAATATTCGAACTATTATCATTACTCAAAGTGAAAATAATCATACCATTTTCCTATCAAATTGTGGTTGTATTTATAATGTGCTGAGATAATGCCAGCAAGAGGAAATAATTAATCAAGATTATGACTGGAGTGAAGTCTTAGTGAAATTCTATGGCCTAAGCATCAAACGATTGGCAACAAACATAAAATCCCGATTTCAAAATAACAATAGAATAAATAAATTAATCCATGTCATGATAAAATTTTACACTTTTTATGAAACTTTAGGATTGATATGCAGTTAACGCTGGTGCGTCGTAGAATACTGCCACTTAGAAGTTATGAAAAAGTATTTTGATATTCGAATTAACATTTCCCAGTTGTGATGAAGATTAGTTAGAAACTTAAATAAAACAGGATTTTAATCCTGCAATTTACTTAATGGATAAGACATTTTCATAAAAGAAGAAAATCAGGGAAAATGGACCCATAAAAACTAAGGTTCACACAGTGGGATGGAAATAAATTTAAATCTCTGAAGCACACAAGCTGCTTCGATAGTAAAAGTAAAGTGGCACCCTTTCCAATGGGTCTTGTAGTAATTTTTAAAATCTAAAAAGGGTACAGATTGCTCATTTCCAACTAGTAAAGCAGGAACCGAGAAAAAACGTGTAGATAATGCACGTCTTAGGAGAGTCACCATGAAGAAAAAGACTAGAAATATAAATGTAAGGTGTATAGCAAATAAAATAAGCAAACAACAAGGAACCAAGCACGCTCAATAGAACAAAAAAGAGCGAAACCACAAAGCAGCTGAATTGACATGCTGAAAAATGCAGGAGTTTTGAGGAAAATATTACCAATAGTGTATAGGGAGTGGTTCTACTCTATATCAGACGAAAAGGGAAGGTGAAAAAAAAAGAGAAAAAAGCGGCATGTCAACATTTCAGCAAGGCGTCATTACAAATAAAAAACTCATAGAAAGTGGGAATAATTCAATAATGTGATAAATGCTATGCTCATCTCCATTGTGCCCTGATAGCATGTAAAATCTAATTGAGTTTCTAAAATAACTGGTAGAAGATCAAAATATATTAGTTGTATTCACCCTATTGCATTTAAGGTGATGAAGGACTCATAGTTGAACTTTACCACAATAATATGAGTAGATCTAACGTCTCCATTGAATTTCACACAGCCTTGCTTTCCGAAAAGGTGTTCTTATCCAGAGAGGACTACAGTATCCACCTCGCCTAGGTCTTATCAACAACCCAGCGGGAGTTGAACAATGATAGTGCCATAGCAAATATAAGTTTGCCTCATTGACAATCCCACCACAGAATGTGATATGGGAAAATGCTTGACCTTCCTTGAAATCTACGCCTGCCCTGTGACCAAAGGGCATTCGTTGCAGTGTGACGTAGTGGTTAACGTGTAATATTATACGATGCATTGTCATAGTTTGGCTCCTGCCGGGGGTGTTAATAGGACTTAGGCGATGTCAAAACTGCAGTCTATCCTGGAGGAAAACACCTTTTAGGAAAGCAAGTCTATGTGAAATTAAACGGAAACGTCAGCTCTACTCATATCATTGTGGGAAAATTCAACTACCGCTCCGTCATCACCTTAAACAAAATAGGGTGAAAATAATTCATAGGAGATTGAAATATCTTAACACATTAAAAAGTAGGAAATTCAAAAATCGGGTTGGTGAAAATGAATAAAAAAGGAAAATGAAATAGGCTTCGGTAGCATAAGGATTAATGAGCGAATATTATAAGTAATAATAAAAAAAGCGGACTTATGAAATCAGCAGAAACGAGAGTTCAACTGTCAGTTTTTCAACATCTTACGCAACCTATGCTCAATACAGTTGTCAAGAAAATTAACCAAACATAAAAACTTGCAAGTAGAGAAGTACATTTGTTTATAAAAAGAAGTCGTCAGTAGACTGAAGTATGAAAATGGCGAATTACATACCAAACTGACTAAAAGGGGGAAGAATAGTTTAGATGAATAAAATAAAATAATTGTAGTAGCCGACACAATAGACTTGGGAGAAGCTACAAGCTTAGATAAAGAAGGCGATGCTACAATGTTGCATTGCAGTAGAGCGGGGAAGTTGGGGAGTACTCGTTTACCTAACTAGAAGAACTTGTCTTCTATAAGTTCAGACTTTCTCTGATTGTAGGACGAACGAACTTTAACGTAAGAAGTATTAACTCAGAGGATGGAATATTCAAAATTCCTCGGGACGGAAAAAAACACAAGGAAAATTTAAGGACAAGTTCTGGAACAGACTATGATGGGGTGGATGATCGACAAACTGAGTATGCAATGGAGGGCTGCAAACGAAGACCAACTTAATAAATGCTATTATTTTAATAGTGAAAATGGTGATTCTACGAATAGGATAATTCAACTTATGTAGATGTGGGTAAAAGTTGTGGCTAGATTCGTCAAATTATAGTCAAGTATGCAAGTACATCGTTGTTAAACTGATTTCCATTTCTTGTAAAAATGTGTGATAATGAAATTCAAAAGTCGATCTCCACAGAAGACGATGATGTGTACTCCATGATCTGCTTTTGTCCGACTTTTATAAGTCTCCCAAACTGATAGACTTCGAAATATCCTCCTTCCATAGAAATGAAATTGTGCTGACCCCTGCTCTGTAATATAGCACATCGTCAGAGGTGAACATTATTCTTATAATAAATGCAAATAAAAGCAAATAACTAGCAAAGAAGGCCCTGATAACATCTGGCATATGATAGACGAGAGATCATCACGTCATCACCAGAACGGAAGGAGAACGTCTAAAGAACCGAGTCAGTCAGAACGCCTAAGTACAATCAAAAAGCAAACCTTGACCTATTCATTTCTTAAACTTAAATTGTCGCATAAAATAAAATAAAGTCAGACAATGGTATATCAATAGATTCATCCAAACTCAGCATCTTTTAATATAGAAAATCTCATATCTTTATATCGGCCAATAAAAATAATAGTAGTAGTAATAATAACATGAAACTAATAAAAGCTTCAACCCAAACAAATATAATGAAAATTCTAGTTTTATACATTATGTTATCGCCCGCTTGGTAACCGCAGAGATGAATTATAAAAAGAACTGCGAGTTGGCTAAACCCTTGTTGGTAAAATAATAAAAGGATTCTCAAGAAGTAAAATGGTTGCATTGGTATCCCTTTAGTTCCAAAACAGCTTCGGCAGGCGGTGAAACATCTTAAAACATGTCTTAAGACCAAGTCTAATGTAGCCAGTTCATTATACAATGACGGCAATAAACAAAGGTTGTACTTGAAAGTTATTTCAATCACGCAAGCCTCCACTTCAAAGAAAGCCAACGAATTTTCCCGGCTTAATTAAATGGATGAGAC